CTTTGTACTATAATTAACAACTCTACACATAAAATTTGAATGCTGAATTCGTCTGTAAATCTATTATATTTCACATAGATCGGTAAAGGTGATTCCCAGATTTATTATTTACCAAGAGAGAAGAGTGCGTAAATGTCTAATACTGAAACTGAATATCTACTGTAAGAGAATAAGAGTTGAATTAAGATAATTAGTATTCGTTATTGTATGTGCAATTATTATTTGTTGTTGGTACAGTTAATATATGACTTTATTATTGTTGTTAAGGGAATTTTCAAGTAAGTTTTAATGATTTTGTTTTATTAATATGTATACTTAAGTATATAACAGCAAGTATTTTTTTACTTGCAGAATTCTTGTTACTTATTAGTAATTAATAATGGATGAAAGCGATTCTGAACAGGGTCAGAGTCCATCAACCCCTCCAAAAAAGAGAATTTGTATGAAGAGAACCCAAAAATATCGGAAAGAATGGGAATCAACTTTTAAATGGGTTCGCAGTGATGAAAATTCCAAAACAAAGGCGTATTGTAAAGTTTGTTCTAGTTCACTAAAATCGGAGATTCAGGTTTTGAAACTCCATGAAAATAGTGCAAAACATAAACAAATGCTAAAATCACACAAATCTCAATCATCACTGTTAGGTTTTGTGAAACCGAAATCTGAGTTACCAGAAGGAAAAACTTTAAGGGCACAACTAAAACTTGCTGGTTTTTTTGCCGAACATAACATACCGTTTTTATTAGGTGATCATTTGACGAAATTACTGAAAGACATTTTTCCCGACTCTCAAATTGTGAAAGATTTACGTTTGGGGAGAACAAAACTTACTGAAATTATAAAAAATGTGCTAGGTCAGGAACATAAAATAGAATTAGCGAAAAAAATAAAGACTTGTAAATTCAGTATATTAACCGATGAGTCGACGGATATATCTTCTGAAAAATGTAGCTGTATTGTAGTGCGATACTTCGATGAAGAAGCGGGCGTTATTGTAAGCAAGTTTTGGGAACTTGTTCAGGTATATTCAAAAAATGTAGAAGGTAGACAGGAAGCAACTGCGGAGCACTATAATAAATTCTTTTATGGAGTATGGTGTACCACCGGAAAATGTGGTTGGTTTTGCATCGGATGGAACTAACGTTATGATGGGCCAACATAACAGTGTATCTTCCCGATTCATTGAACATTATCCCGGTATTGTAATTATGAAGTGTATTTGCCACTCTGCACATCTCTGTGCTAGTGAATCCTGCAAGAACTTACCAAAAAAATGTGAAGATTTAGCTAGAAATATAGATTGAATAGATTTAGATAGAAATAATACACACTTTAAAAATAGTTCAAAAAGGCAACATGATTTTAAACAATTTCAAATGTTTACAAATGTTGATATACATAAAATCTTACACCCATCACAAACCAGATGGTTAAGTTTAAATGAAGTGGTAAATAGAATCATAGAGCAATGGGAAGCTTTAAGACTTTATTTTACCAGTACTTATTTAACAGACCGTTTAGTTGCTACGGAAATGATTCATCAGGATCTTAATGACCCTTTTATGAAACTTTATTATTATTTTTTGGGTTGGATTTTGCCAAAATTTACTAATTTTAATACTTACTTTCAATCTGAACATGTTGTTATTGCAAATTTAAACCAAGAAATAATAACATTATATGAAGAAATTTTATTGTGTTACATGGAAAGAGATTATATTTTTAAAACTAAGGTTGAGTTAATAGACCCATGTAATGAAACTACCTTTATAAATATTAAAAATATGTATCTCGGTATAAATGTCATGAACCTTCTTCAGGACGAAGCAGTAAAAAGACACCCAGATTTAATTACTCATTTCCTTATCCGTTGTCGATTATTTATGATTACCGCATGTCAACAAATTAAAATAAGATTTAATTTTAATGATCCGCTTTTAAAAAACTTAAATTTCTTTATTCCCTCAAATGCCCTCTCTAATAGTTTTAGAAATAATCATCCGAGCTTATTTCCCATATATCAGTGAATACTTCTTTTGGAATCAAAAGATTTCTTCCATCTAATATTGATACTGTTGAGATACAACAACTAATTGATGACGAATGGAGAAAGCTACCTTTAATTTCCCATCAGGAAATTAAAATTGAAGAAAAAATAGATATTTTTTGGTCGCGTTTGTTACATTATAAAAATGCTCTGGATATTTTCGAATTTGCAAATTTATCCAAATTTGCATTAAATTTGTTGAGTATACCGCACTCCAATGCTCAGTGTGAGAGGATATTCAGCAAAGTTAATTTAATTAAAACAAAACGGAATAGATTAATTACACATACTGTTAACGGTAACTTGCTTTCATCTCAATGCATAAAAGAAAAAAATGGTACATGCATAACATTTGAGCCGTCAAAGCAAATGTATCTGGGATGTAACCAAACCATGTATAGACATGTACAAAAAAATTAGAAGATATATCAGACGAAGATGGTGATAATGAGCATGAGCTTGACCTTTATTTCCACTAATATGTATAACAACATTGTAAAATTTTTATTATGTTTTCATTTTACTTTTTGTTTTTTTAATATTGTTAAAATTTTATGTTTTCTGAGTTTTGTGTTAAATAAATTTCCTCATTTCTTGTACTATATTTTTCTTTAATGTACTATATTAATCTCGGCAATCGTACTATAAGAGCTGTCAATAGAGTTGGCAACCCTGATCAAAAGTAAGGTTAGATTTTTGTTTTATTTATTTATTTATTGGAGAGGATTTGCTCTGGAAAACAGGAAGCAAATAATGTCAAGAAACATCAAATAAACCGCCAGTAACAATTGGACTTTTTCAATTGGTGAATCTTCTTATACAATATGTAAATAATATGTTTAAAACGTAATTAATAACGTAAACTGTCATTCGATGACGTTTTTTTAACAAAAAAATCGTAAAAATCCTTTAAAATTAACAAAGCAATGAATGCTTGCTTTTTACCAGTAGAATGAAAAGTAGGCTTAGAATTTTTCTTTTACTTATTATTTCTTTTTTTGTACAATTTGCACTGAAAATTAGAAGGCAAATGATATAAAAAAACGTGAAATAAACAACAAGCAACTATTACGATAATATTTTGGATTTTTACTGATATTTGTCTCTTTCGATCGAACAGCTCTTCCTTCGATAGAAGAAACTTCATATACAAGAATATGTGTTAAACATAAGTAATTGCCAATAATATGTTAATAAAGTTAAAAATCATTTGTTTACGTCTTTTTTCAACAACTATGGTAAGATCTGATTGAAATTGATCAAAATGACGAATGATTTTTAGTTATCCGTAGAATCAAAAGTAGAGTTAGATTTTCCTTTTATTTACAATTGCTTCAATTTAAATAATTGACACTGGCAAAACGTAAACAAATAGTAAGTAGAAACCTTAATTAAACTATCAGGAATTATTTGGTTTGTACTTTACATTGTATGAAAACAACCATTTTTTTTTCACCGTTCAAATAGTTTTAAAATTAAAAAATATTAAAAAATACTTGTGATAAATTATGCACAGTAGTATGTAATATACAAAATTTTAAGAATTATTTCTATTATATGCTCCTTTTTTAATAAAAGCTTATTTGAACCGAAAGGTTATTCGTGTATATTCGAACATGCCATAATTCATTTTGCAGACCCTCATGTACTTGAAAATGTACGGAAGATATTAGAAAGAGTTTTTGGTTTCCCGAAATGCAAAATAATGTAAATGCATGACATTTTAAACAGTCTACAATGCATTAAATCTACACGTTTTAATAACCCTACTTTTGTCATTATTTAAATTAATCTAGTGCCTTTGCATTTTGATGTACGTACCTTTTTCTCATCTGTTTATTTCATTTTTCAATGTTTACAAATACGAATTTATCGTATTTTGTGTAAATTTGTAATTAAAATCCAAAATTCTTCAAAAAATAACACCAAGCAACTATCACCGCCATCTTGTCAACGTTGTCAACTGTCAATAGTGTCAAGTCAATTACAAGGAGGTGTGGCCTCGACCGAAAGCATTATTCATACAAAAATAGGAATGACAGAAGAAAAAGAAGAGCACCTTTGGTAGGGTTGTAGCACGGTTTGTAGAATAATACGGTTGTCTCGTAACTTTTTAGCCAATCACGCACGGTATCTCGTGACGTCACAAGAATTCGAGTGGCAAATTCCGAGCATCTCAAGTGTAATGAAATTAATGTTTTTAATAATATTTACAGGGTAAAATATTATAAAAATTGAGACAATGGACAGGAATAATAACTAATAAAAGTATATTTCCCATAAATATATTAAAATTTAAAAGGAGACGGGTATTTTTTGAATTAAATGATAAATGGTTTATTTGTATACCTATTAAACGGTACATATTATTATAGTTATTTCGGGCCTTAAATTCTTAAATAAAACAAAGTATTACGACAAAATATATTTATATCAAAGTAAATATAAATAAACATTATAAACATATAAATAAACGAGATATACAGATTGTACGAATTATTCCGCTGCAAGCATACAATGAGAATAATGAGATAGCTAATTGAACTTTTGCTATGTAAGGAATAAAGAGAGCATACGAAATAATCACGCCCGCTATCCCCGCTATTCGCTAGTGGACGAAGCGAAGCGATTTAACGAATTCTAATATCGGCCGGCAACCGATAAACAAGTTTCTGTTCTTTACTATCTTATAGTATTGATTGAGATTCTAATTCTAATGCTTGCAGCGGAATAATTTGTACAATCTGTATAATAAATAAACGATATGAGATGAAACGAATAAATATGAATAAACGATTTTAATTTTATTAAGTGCGGATCTGTAATTGTAATTTTTGTTGGTTTATGTGAATGGTAATTCAAGTTCAATAGGTCTATTTCAAGAATTTTCATGCAAGTGTTAAGTAAATCTGGTTTTATTAAAGAAAAAATAATTAAAATCCCTTCAATTACAATGTACATGGACCAAAAATCTACTGGTGACGTATTCCCCCCCACTTTTGCCAGCAAAGTGAGGTAACCGTATTATTCTACAAACCGTGGGGTTGTAGGGTTGTGGCATAGAGAAAGAAAGATGAGAGAGTTCGATCTCTTACTAAAAATTGGCAACGCGTAGATCACAGCATATATACGAACAGCAGGGACACTCTTTGAGCGGGAACGGTTCGCGTCGATCCCTTGCGCATCTTCCAACTTGGTAGGAAAACCTTGTGAACCTTGGTAAATCTCAGTAGGAAAACCTTGGTAGGAAAACGGATGAAATCAGCGGCGTGTTCAGTTACTTGATTTTTAGTGTGTTCACATTATTCAGGAGCGTAGGAAGTTTGTGAAATTGTGTATTTTGATTTTGATATTTCGTTAATTGGACTTGTGGTAAATTTAATTTATTAAAATGGTTACTACTTGCGTCGCGAAAAACTGTAAAAACAAAAGTGGTGTATCAAAGAAGAAATTTTTTAGATTTCCAGTAGACCCCTCAAGGTATGTAAATAATTTACTTGTATATAACTAAACTTTTGTTATTATATTTATTTTATCTTTTATATTTATATTATATTTTTTATTATATTAATTGGTAACTTATATTATTTTAAATTTTGTAAATACTGTTTAAAAAAGCAAATTAATGACAGCTTCATAGTCTAACTTATTTTTATAAAAGTTTGATTAGATTTTTAACCCGTTAGCCGTTAGCGCCCAGTGATCTAACTTAGATCATTACATTTAAATAATTATAAACAAATGCTGTTGTGAATTAAATTCAATTTTTTCATTTTTATACTGGGTGTATCTTAATATAACACCGAAAAAATTAAAGGGGTGATTCTGTGATGAAAATTGAGGTGGGAACTTGGTACAATTTTTTTTGAAAAACCCTCCCCGGAAAATTTGTTTAACAAGTAGAACGAAAGCAGTATCTCAATGAAAAAATGGACACATTCTTTTTTCCAAAATTATATAACAAAGGTTCAAAATTCTTTACTATTACACAAGATATTAAAAGACATATTACATGAAATATAAAAATGGGTTTAATTATAATAATGTACCGTGATATCTATGCCTAATTTTAGATCCTTTTGCTACAAACAGACAACATAAATTATAGGGATTTCCAAAAATATTTAAGTTGGAAATTTCATCAATGAACGCCTTTACAATTTTCACCAGTAATTTTATTAAGCTTCAGAAGGGACACTGGTATACTAAGAACTTATTATCTTTATGACTGAGATACACCCAAACTTTCCTTTTGTATTGCTTCTCAAATAAAATTTTACTATGGTTAGGTAATATAAATTTTGTATTTAAATCTATTGTAGGTATAATATTCTTATAAGCGGTTAGGATAGATAATTCTGAATTATGCAAATGGGTTTTACCGTTCATTAAAGAGGGTACTTTTACCATTATAAGTATATATTCTAAGGAAATACAGATTATACAGATGGTTCCCGAGCCCGATGTCATTAAAGAGGATTACGGAAAAACCCGTGTTTTGTTCTAAGTACATGGGCACGCAAAAGGCGCTGGTCATAAACGACCTTTTCTAGTTATGTTTAAAGATGATGTTATTCAAAGTTTTAGAAAAAGCATACTTTAACAATGTGAAACCGTTTTTTCCCTTAAAAAAGTTCCCTTTTTCATACATTAATTAATATACTATAATTTTAGCTATTCTAAATTCTATTTTTTTATTTCTAGAGCTACTACCTGGTTGAGAGCCTGCAACAGAGAAGACTTGAACAACAATTTACATGTTCTGCATAAGACAGCAAGACTTTGTGAAGACCATTTTGATCCCAAAATGTTCATTATTAAAACAAAACGTGTTTTTCTGACCGCAACAGCGGTTCCAACAATATTTCCATCACTGGAGGGATCTTCAAGGGATTTTGATCATACGTATTCAAAAGTAGTCAGCGTCATTTCTAACACCAATGAGGCTAGAAGAATAAAAGTTTTACAGCACATTGTGATTCCATCAGGTAAATTTCATTTTGTTTTCATTTTCTGTTGATCTATTAAATTGATTTAAGAATTTTGTAATTGGTTTCTAGCTTTTCAATTAATTAATTTTTTTTTCAGCTGAACAAACGATGACATCGGATCAGCAGGATAATTTGCCATGCTCATCTCCTCTTGGATCCCCAAATGAAATGGAACATGTGGATAATTTTCGATGTGTATCGTCGGTGTCTATGGCTTCTTCCTCTGTTCTTTCGGATTCGTTGATGCTGTCACCCAGATCAACACAAACCACAAGTGAGTTATCGAGCAAAACACCCCGGAAGGAGAAGTACCGGAACAAAATTATCCAATTAAAACGAGAAATTGATAGTTTAAAAAATAAAAATTTGGAACTAGAAAAGAAACGTGAAGCTGGTGAAGATATTACCTTTGAACAATATTGTCAGCTGACACATAAATTTTGCGGCAACGATGATATGGCTGAGTTTATTAATTTTGAAGTTAGTCAAGCTAAAAAAAAACCTTTTGGGCGTAGATATTCTGTTCATTTTAAAATGGAATGCCTACCGTTATATTTCGCAGGTCCCAAGTTGTACAAGCAGATGTTATGTAAAAAAATTTGTCTTCCTTCACCCAAAACATTACAAAACTTATTAAAGGGCAATCGCATTAATCCTGGGTTAGAGAATCCCCATCTGTTTGATACGTTAAAACTAAAAATACAGTCATTTACTGCAAACAGTAAATATTGCATTTTATGCATTGATGAAATGGCTATCAAAGCTAATCTATTTTATAATCGGAGTACCGACTGTGTGATTGGTTTTGCAGAAGGAGATAACGGGCGTAACGTACTAAAGCCGGCTTTGCATGTTTCTGTCATTATGCTTCGAGGAATTTTTGAAAATTGGAAGCAGCCCTTAGTTTATAATTTTTGCCACGCATCATATCCTGTTTTGCTTTTACAAAAACAACTTACCCAGCTCCTACAAAAATTAAAAATAATTGGGTTAAAAGTTTGCGCTATTACAACCGATATGGGTTGCAATAATATTCCACTAGCAACTAAGTTAGGAGTGACAATAGAAAACCCTTATTTCTTTGTTGACGAACAAAAAATTTTTTATATATTTGATGTTCCCCATGTTTTGAAAGCAATTAGAAATATGCTTCTAAAATATGATTTTTTCATTGATGATGACATTATATCATGGAATTTTATTGAAACATTTTACCATCACGACAAAAATTACAGTGTAAGAGCCGCTCCAAAATTAACAAATTCCCATATAAATCCTAGTCCGTTTGAAAAAATGAAGACTAAATTTGCAACTCAAGTATTTAGCGCGACGATATCAAGTGGTATGAATGTTTACATACGCTTCGGACAATTACCACAAGAAGCAGCAAAAACCGCTGAATTTGTTTTAAAAATGGACAAATTGTTCGACATATTAAATTCTTCAACATCATCTTCAAACAAATTATTTAATAAGCCCTATAAAAACTTACCTCATCAACTAGAACTGTTAGATGATTGTTTGGAAATATTTTCTAAATTAACAGTAAAAAACAAAGCAAATAAAAACATTACAAATACAATCAAAAGTTTTAAATGCCTTAAAACAACGATAAATAGTATAAAGGGTCTGTGGACCGATATCCAGAAATTAAATTATTCGTATTTATTCACGCGTAGATTAAATCAGGACTGCCTCGAAAATTTCTTTGGAACCATTAGGCAATTAAATGGTAATTGCAAAAATCCGACCTCGGTACAAGTTCAAAGAACATTTAAAAAATTATTTTTTTTTAAATTGTTTCACTCCGGCACAGAGAATTGCGAGGCAGATCCTGATACGATTCTAATTAAACTCAAAGACATTCCTAAGCCATTTGTGGAGACAACGTCTCCAGTAAAAATAAATAAATGCACTGTATCAGATATACCATATGACAAAGATGAAAATTTGGAAAAAAATTTTATTAGATATATTTGCGGATATTTGTTAAAAAAAGCACTAACCGTTCATTCCTGTGATATATGTATGAAGTACAGTAATGAACGAAAGGAATTGGACGAAACTTCTTTATATTTATTTTATAAAGCGTATCAAAACACAGAAGAAAATTTGTTTGGAAATTTACAAAATCCGTGTGATGATTTTGTAAATTATATCTCACGGATAGAAAGGAAATTCCAAGCAAATTTTCAAACGCTTATAATAGAACCAAACGTTTGCAGTAACCTATTAAATATATTTGAAGAAGATTTGTTTAATCACCCTTGTGGACTTTTCCCCATTTCTTTCATTTTAACTTTGTACACAAGAGTTAGACTGTATTATACAATAATAGATATACATATGTAAATAATAATTTTAAGGAACAAAAATCCCACCGAAATAAATTATTGATTTGGAAACACCTGTAGTTGTATGTAAATCTGTAAGTTTTGGTATTTTTTTTGTAGAATTGTTTTGTTAGTTTTCGTTAGAATTTGTTTTGTAGAATGTTTGTAATTTTTATTTTAAATAAATGTTTTGGATTTAATATATTTTTTTATTTTCTTTCCAAAAATCTTAATGAATATTTAATAAAGAGTAATGTCAAGAACATCAAATATTGTAGTTATTTTATTTTATAAATTCAGTAATTCGGATCTGTCTACGAATGCAACTTTAATTTTAGTCCTGCCCTAGGTTTTCCTACCTAGTTTGAATCTCAAGGTCAACGAAAAGTAACCTACCGAAATCAAAGTGCCGACCGAGAGCGTCCCTGCTGTTTGTATTTATGCTGTGCGTAGATGGTGCTGCTCCTAGTTCCTAGTAGATTTCTTCTATATTTCAAAATTAAAAATGGGTTATATATTCAATTTTATTTTTATAATATTGCTATATTGCAAATTAGAAAATAAGAACAACTTTTGTTAATAAGAAATGTATTTATTTAAAGATATAAAAAATTGAATACATACATATAACCTAAATAGACAATACAATACATACAATTCAACATTTGAACATCATTCGACAAAATTAATAACATTTGACACTAATAACAAAAATATAAATAGAATACGTATATAATACATGTGGAATAGAAAATATAATAGAATAAATAGAAACGTAAAACAAATACAACCTTGTTACTTCGAAGTCAGATGAGTCAGATCCCTCAGTTCCCAGGGCCTACAGCGTCCAATTCTTGTAGAGCTAACTAAAACAGAAAAAAATATGAGCAGCATCTAATTTAGGAAAATAACAAAAACAGTGAGATGTATTAGAAAAACACAGAAATCAAATATTATAAGTAGATAGCTATGTAGAAAAATGATCTTCACAGAGTCTCATTTGTTTGGATGAATGAGACAAACCTATAAATAATATCCTATAATATCAAACCATTTTTTCTTTCACTCAAATTTGAAGGGAATTTAAAAAAAAAAAACGCTTTTGAAGATTATCTTCGGGGGGACAAATTTACAAATTTTGCATCTTGGTGATGCACATTTACGAACCTTCCTTCGAATTGGTGTTGACATTTTAAATTTGCAAACAAATATAAATATAAAAAATAAAAATACTCACAATTTAGGTTAAGCACTAAAATGGCGTCTACATCACTAACGAAACTCACTTAATTAAAACAACGGACGGGCGACGACCGACGACCCGCGATCGCGATCGTTTCCATACGGATCTCATATAAAATTAGCCAATCAAAACAATCGAAATTCATTTAATTTTTCGATAGCAGCGCCTCTAACGGCTGGTCTCCGTTCTAAGACATGTTGTCGACTTTGTCCTATGCATTAAACAGTCTCTTTTATTTTGTCTATGGGTTGTGGGTTTTTTATTTGAGTCCCTCACTTTTATTTTTAGAAGTAATTGCTTCCACGAAATATAACACTTTTGTTTTAACGAACTGTTTATTTTAACAACCTTACTTTCCAACAAATACCGTTCTAGTTTTTCGTTTGGTTTTTATTTTAAGTTTATACTAAGTTTTAACTTAATCGACTTTCCTTTTTCGGTAAGTAAAATTCGTTTATGAATAAGTTCATTTATTAATGTGTTCGATTATAAAAGTGTTTTTTCTAGTATAATGAATCCTGAGTTTCGTTTGTGGAACACCCGAAGGCTGCCAATGGCGGCTGATGGTGTTGCTTGGGCTGTCGCCAAGGCTAATACCATCGACTAAGGACTGTCGGACCCATAGGGTTCCGATGGTGATTTACTACGACGGCGAGGACGGTAATGGGCGGTTTAAATGTAAGAAAGCATGTTGCAAACAGGGCCACGCTGTTTCGAAAAACACATGGTTTGAAAATGCTCACCTCAAACCACACGAGGTAGCCTGGGTGATGTATGGCTTCGCTCAGGATTGGCCTCATTAGATGGTTCGCAACGAGTGCGTTGATTTGGAGGTCCCTGATGATCAACTCACTGAGCTTAGCTCAGCGACCATCCACTTTTGGTGAGTTCGACTATTTTATTTTGTAACCGTTTTTCGCTGCTTCCCGAATAGGATTACAAGTGGCGCGTCTCGGTGTCTTCGGTCGGTTTCTCGGGCGCCAGATTTTTGGTGGTTTACTCCACTTACCTTCAGGTTCGGTGTTGAAGGGCCTAGGTAACTACAGATGGAGATAGTACTTCCAGGGGTCGAAATGTTAGAGACTACACTTAAGCGGTTATCAAGAAATAAGTTTTAATTATTTCAAGACAAGAGTACGGAAGGAACTATAGTAGTTTTGTTATTTACTCATACAAAGTACAGTTTGTAATATTGAAGCAGTAAAATACACCAGATAGGATTTCACGATTAAATTACAAAATAAATATACAGGTTTTTTCCCAAGTAACATTTTAAGCTTTATAAAAGCAGTAAGAACGTTTACAGAGCTAGAAAAATTTAAATCGAGCTTTATTATTAAGCTCTGAGAACACTCTTACAGCGTCTTTAAAATGCTTATAGAATGGATTTGGCGCGCCTTAAAAAGCTACTTTATAAATACTATTAGCTATATAATACTTTTATAAGTGATTTTGTTTATCGTAACAAAGTTATTATAAAAGCTTTATAAAGTATAGTGTAGGCTTTGTAAAAACTTTATAATGGTATTTGGTGATCTTAACAAAGTTATTACAAAGCTCTTATAAAATATAAGTTAAAACATTTATGCTGCAGACAGAACGTTTATAAAGTCACTTTATAAGCATTTTTTAAAAGCTCTAAAAGAACTCTTATAGCAGCTATTAGAAAACTATTCAGTTTTAAATATGTTGCTGGATTTGCAGTTACAAAGCTGAAAACCTTTTTAAATATTTTTTAAATATTTTATTATAAATTACTTGTTATATGTTCTGTTTGGACAGATGTTATATATTTTCATGACGCATCTTCTATGCCTATGTTTTATATTATTGGACATCCATATGAATATATTTATGTTATGGTTTATGAAGACTACAATGTACAAAAGTTACAACAAAAGAAAAATTATTGTGAATAATGTTGGTTGTAGGCCTAAAAATTATGCAGCCCCGTAGATTTATTGAGTTTTTTGGCTTTAAGGAAAATTAACCGGTAGTTCAAGGTGGCTTCTAAACAAAAATAAACACTTAAAAAAGAATAATAATTGATTAAGAAATACGTCGAAAGCATTTATTTTTCAAAAATTTTAAATATTTACTTAGAATTACTACAAAAAAAAATATGTTCCAAAATGGCGGTTTGCTTGTTTTCTAATTTTAAGTGAAATTACAAAACAATATGGAGTCAAATATAATACAACACTTAAGCTCCTCAAAAGTCTTTATAAAATGAATATGTTTTATAGTAGCTGTATACGGAATTAATTAACTTTATAATGACAATGTGGCGTACTATTATGGAGCTTAACAGCTTTGTAAATTTTTCAGTTTACAGCGTTGCCGATTATGATACGATAAAGTTCGTATTTAATGCCAACAAATTAATTTATTACGAATTCAAACATCAACAACTCTTTTCTTCAGACTTGGATGTCTTTTTGATTGTCTACGCTAGTAAGTAAGCAGATCAGATTTGGCAAAATCCCTGATTTTGAAGATTAGATTTGGGTCAAAACTTTTTTTCTACCTTTACTTTAGTGAAATGTTTTTAAGAGCGGCAACTTTGCAGTTTCTATGTAACGGAAAGCTGTAATTTAAATTTTCGAGGTTGGAAGTTGGAATTCGAATTGGTGAACATTGCAAAACAATACGAGAGTGAATAGTGTATTTATTTTCTGAAGGTAAGTTGTACATAACAATATTATTTTAACTAAGTACCTGCTCCTAAAGAAATTGTAATTTCATCATAGATTAGGTATATAATTTATACTTGTTGAATATTTTTTTACGTACCTTTAGAAGGCTGAGAGCCTATCAATTTTTATAGCTAAAATATAGTTTAATGAGAATAATAGTATTAAAGATCGTTCCTTTAAAATAACAGGCATTAAGCTAACTTTATTAACACTTTATAAAATCTCCGGTTTGTATAATATGTTTTTAAGGAAACTTTATAAATACTTTATAAGAGCTCCGGTTTGTTTGGCTTTATATACGTTTTGTTATAGCACCCAATTCTATCAAAAACTATCTTGTATAGTTTTTCTACTTTTTAATTATCTATTTCTGTTATTTCGGCGCAAAATTCAGCAGCGCCCGACACTTTCTTAGAAATAATAAAAATACAAATATTGTTTGAAAAGTATAAATTACTTTAATTACAGATGTGGAAGATTGTAGAAACACTTGAAAAGGGGAAACTTCATCTAACTGTGATCCCCTATCAATGGGAAGTCAACGGTAAACTATTTTGGCCCAGAGCTAAATCAGATACACTAATAACCGACTCAATGTCAGTTCCTGGCGAAAATTGGTTCGAAATGCCGTGCAAGTTAAAACGAAGCAATTTTAATTATCGTAAAACAGCCGAGAAGGAGTTGGAAAAGATGTTGAAATTTCCCGACACGGATGGGGATGATAGTGAAATGCCTCCCATCTCGCAGCGAATCATAAAAAAAGGGAATGCAACAGTCAATAGAAACAACATTGGACGAGTATCGCCTCAAAATTTCAACAGCATTTTAGATGAAGCAATATCACAGGTAAAACTTCAAATATTTGTGGGTCAATTTAATTTTTAAATATTGTACTTACTAACTTTTTTACTAATAACTTAATATTTTTATTTATAGAATGTGTTATTTTTGCCTGATGAAAATGAACAGGAACTAATGAAAAATACTAATGAAAAAAATACTAACGAAACTGCAGTCTTAGTAGAAATGGAAAATGACACTGACTTAAGAAATACGAACTCCGACGTTAATGAACCTTTGTTTTTAGTAGATAGTAAAATTCAAGAAACTATTGAAGCAATTATTGCCAATCAGACTAAAATGTTTTCATGCTTTACGCAAGAATTTGCTAAATTACATATCAAAATAGATAAGTTAAACGATAAATTGAATGAAATGATTGTTGACAAAACGACTACTAATTCTCAAGAAGCAACAAATTATGAAATTTTAGAACATCCCATTAACTCGTTAGAAGAGCTGGAAGTGTTAAATGATAATCTAAAAGAGAAAGTTTATTGGCAAGCTTTGATAAAAAAAATGATCCCTCTTTGCGGTAAAAATGGCAATGGATTGGATACCTCTTACATGCTCATTGACTTGTTCTTTACAAGACAATTTATGACCAAGTGGTCCTGGACTGGAGGCTCTCGTGGTAGCGAAGATAAAATTGCTTTAAAAAGCTACAAAAAAGTAGTTGAAGTGTTTTTTTCAATCATTAATGCTAGTGATGAAAGATTTAATCAAATCAATTGTCACGATTTTTTTAAAAGTGTTCTGCGAAACTCAACTCGAAGAAACGCTAGACCTGCAGAAAGAACTTCAAAAGCAAAGGCGAGACCAAAAAATTTGCAATATAAGAAAAAGGAGACCAAAAAAAAACGCAGAGGAAGAAGAAGTGGTGGAAAATGATTTGGATGAAGGCAAATAACGTTAATAGGTTTTTGTTGTTTTTTTTTAAGAAATTAAAAAAAGTTCTGAAGCATTTTTCATTTTTTATTTTAATGTGTGTATCAAAGGAATAAAAACTAATTTGTCTAGATAATTTACAGAAACTAACTTGCATTTAACATATGTGAGAGCGTAACTAGCTGAAGGAAGCTGCTCTCCATCAGACATTTTGTTTTATATATTCAGAGCTGATGAACGAATAGGTGTCTCGAAAAAGTTTACTAAATTTTTGATAGGAGAGCCAATTATATAAGGTGTGCCATCAATCATCTGAATTTTTTGAAAATTTATGACTTCATCATTTTTGCTCAAAAACCAAGAGTCTTGATATAAAGATTTTATTTAAGCAATAAGACTCAAAGTCAACCTGATTTTTGTTTTTTAATAAAGGATATATACATTTTTCTACTTTATTCTCGTATTGTAAAAGCTCGTGTTCTCTTATTCTGTTTGCAACTTGAATTAGCGGTGACTTTCCACTTCGTAGCAACCTTTTTATCTGATATAGATGGTTTTCAAAAGGATAGGCGTTAAAATCTGTCAAGATACCAAATTTTTTTACTTCGTCTACTAAATGACATAAGTTATGAATATTGTTGTTGTTGTTGTTGTTTTTATGCGGGCGGTCTTTCCAGCCCCGTGACCACCTAGATCTAATGATCCTCTGTAGTTTCCCGCTGTTTCCCAAGGTCATTGATTCTGCCAGAGGTCGCAAGTATTTGCAAACCTCAGCAGTTCGGATGCCCTTGTGTTTTTGAGATCGCTAGGATCTAATGAGGTCCTTCCCCAGGTATTATACCTGCGCAAGGATAATGCTGGACAGTGACACAGTATGTGTATGCTGTCCTCATCAGCCTCCCCACATAGACGGCATGTTTTCTGCTCTACTATTTTAAGGCGGTATAGGTGCGCTCTGAGTGCTACGTGTCCTGTGAGTAGTCCAAGCGTTTTGCTCAGCCTGTCACGGTCCATAGCCCAGAGCTCGGTTGCCCTTTCTTTTGAGGGTGTTTCCATGAACTGTTTGGATACCCTACAGCCTGTCGAGTTCCTCCATCGAACGAGATGTTCCCTTTCTAGGAGTTTGTTTAGGTATTGTTTACCTTCTGCAAAGGGCATTCCAACTATCTGCCTACCAGGTTGCTCCGTGGCCCCCTCTCTGGCTAGATTATCGGCTACCTCATTGCCTTCTATTCCCTGATGTCCAGGGATCCAAATTAGAGTCACTACATTCTCAGCCCCTAACCTGGCGAGGTTCTGCATGCAGTCCCGCACCACGGCGGAGACCGTGGTGTTTTTCGCCAGTGCCTCTAGGGCAGCGCGGCTATCCGAATAAATAT